AACTTCAACACAATAACCAAATATTAATCTATATATGTATAATATTAATTTAAAAATTATATGTAAAAAATTATATATCTATATATATATAAATGAATGTGTGTTTGTTTTTATGTTTATATGTTTGTATGTTTGAACGTTATAGACTACTAAACGGCTGAACCGATTTTATTAAAATTTTCACAGCGTATTCCTGTATGTCTGGAATAGGTAATAGGCTACTTTTAGGCGAGGAGCCACGCCTATATTAAGAAAATATTAAATCCGTATATTTTAGATAATATAACAGTTAGTCCTCAAATTTTATCGGAGCAACTTTAGTGTCAATATAATTATTTAGGACAAAAAGTAGGCGGACTATCATTAGGGGGCGTGGCACCTCCCATATAAATTAAATACAAAAATACGTTTATCTTGGAAACTTTTACAGTTAGAATCTTCAAATTTTGCACGAAAAACTTTAACATCCATCTAAACATTTTGGGTAATAAATTGGCGGACTACCCATGAGGGGAGCGGCACCTCCCATATTAATTAAAGACAAAAATTCGTTTATCTGGAAAACTAATGGAACTAAATTCTTCAAATTTTGCACGAAGAACTTAAATATTCATCTGAATATTTTGGAGGAAAAAAAGCGAACTTTCATCTGGGGGGTCTTGAAGCCCCCACATGTATCAAATAGAAATATTCGTATATCTGAGAAACTATTAGAGCTTGAATCTTCAAATTTTACATGGAGACCTTTGAAATTCATGTGAACATTTAGAGCATAACGGGCGGACTTTCAATGGGTGGCTTGGCACAACATATATGAATTAAATACAAAATTTCGTGCATCTTGGAAACTCTTATATTATTCAAATTTTTTATAGATAGATAAAAATTGGCGATAGATAGAAACTGGCGAACTTGCAATAATTTGCTTGACATCTTTCATATGTAACATATAATAAATCTGGTATTTATTTATACATATTCCTTTAGTGTGTTTCTGTATGCCTGGAAACTGGTGCAATTAGAGTCCTCAAATTTTGCACGGACAACTTTGACATCCATAAGAATATTTTTGGACAAAATGTATGTATATACGTATATATGTTTGTTTGAAGTCTATAGCCGCCTAAACTGCTAAACCGATTTTGTTGAAATTTTTAGTAGTGTGTTTCTGAATGCCTGGAAACTGGTGCAATTAGAGTCCTCAAATTTTGCACGGACAACTTTGACATCCAAAAGAATATTTTTGGACAAAATGGGCGGAATGGATATAGTGGGCGTGGCACCTTCCATATTAAGAAAATATTAAATCAGTATATCTCAGAAAATATAACAGTTAGAGTCCTCAAATTTTGTCGGAGCCACATAAGTCTCAATATGATTATGTAGGATAAAAAGGGGACGGACTAGCAACAGGGGGCGTGGCACCTCCCATATTAATAAAATACAAAAATTCTTTTATATTGGAAACTATTAGAGTTAAAAGCTTCAAATTTTGTCACGAGCGTGGCCAAAAATGGTTAAAGTCGATGTAGGAAATTTTATTATTTTATATAGAAAACATTCCTATTAGTTAAAATGGAAAATATTGTTTAAAAATTTTGTGTAGTTTTTTAGTTATTGTAGCTCAAAGTTAAGGTTTGCATGCAAGATAATATATTTAAAAGAAAAACCTAAAATTTGACATTTGCTTGTCGTTATTTAAATATTTATTTTATATATATAACGATAATTGTAACTCTGTTTTGGTTTAAAAATATTGATCCTTCTCGAAATACCGTTAGATAAAGGATACCTCCTAAGTATAACGACGATTTCGATACAAATGTCAACTTCTGTAGTGAATTAAAAAAAAACACCCGATATCACTTTCGAAATTTTTTGATATTTTATTGCTATAACTATGTATTTTAACATAAATAAACTTCAACTGCTTCTGAGTGCTTTTACGGGTTTTATATACATTTTTTTCTATCAACATCATTATATTTTTGGGATATTTTTCATAAGCGGCTGCAGTTTAAGAAAAGTAATACATATAATGTCTTACATAATATTTAACAATTTGTAGGAAATTTGATATGAGTAATACTAGTGGATACATAGTAGGAAAAACTAAAATTTACACTTTTAGAAATGAGCAACAATTGAGCTATATACAGGAAAAAGTAGGTTTGAAACTTAATAGAGATACTGGGTGAATACATGGAACTTCGTAATAGTTGACAATTATGTTGAAATTTTTTTTAGATGATAATTTTTTAAACAAAATATAAAAAGTTCTATTAGGAAGCCATTACAAGTACAAATAAATACTTTTTATTTGTTATGAGTATCAGATTAGATCAAACGAAAAGGATATCCTTGAAGGTTGAAAAGGAATCCTCACTAAGGATATAATGGAGGTGGGGAACAAACAATTTAATGTTATTATTACTCATCTATCTCTTTATAAGTGATTCGATAAAAAAAATTTTGTTTTTTTTTTGCTTTTTTCGATTATGTGTTTGAAAAAGGACATTTTTGAGGTAGTCGTATCCTTGGTCTGAATTGAACGAAATTTGGAGGTTGTATTAAGTGTATTAAGCATATCAAAACTAAAGTCTGTACAAAATTTCATTAGGATATGAGTTTTTTTCTCCCAGTTATGGCAATATCTATTTTCAGGATATATGGGAAGGACACGAATCCTTGAAGATTTATTGACCAAATTTTTAATTTTCTTATATTTCGTCAATTAAAACATGTGTGTCAAATTTCGTTCTACGATAACTCCTTCTATTTTTTGCCACTCGTTATATGAAATCACGACAGTGTCGAGCAGCCCCTCCCATATGAATTAAATACAAAAAAAACTTTTATCTAAGAAACTAATAGAACTAGATTTCTAAAATTTTTTATTCATCTGAATATTTTGGAAAAAAAGCGGACTTTCATCAAGGGAGTGGCCTGGAACCACCATACGAATTATATAGAAAAATGTGTATATCTGAGATACTCTAGAAGCTAGAATCTTCAAATTTAACATGAAGGGATTGGAAGACATATGAATTAAATACAATACAATACAATATTATTCATATTTACATAGCTTACATTAAAATCCTTATTAGCGTTCGGAAAAATCGGCGTGGCATCTCCCATGTTTAAGTGGGTTTTTTATTTATATTTCTTTAAGGGTAATAAAGCACACTGGATTAGCTATTGCCTAATAAAACTGGTGCTTTACAAAACTCATTATTATTTTATTATAATTCAGGACTATAGAGTGTAATATTAATATTTAAAAGTCGTCGAAAACATATCACATGAAAATTTAAAAAAAAAGAAATTAATAAAAATTTATGAAACAAACATCCAAATTTATGTCAGATGTAAAATATTAATTTTTATAAATATTTTAGTTTATTAATTCGCAAAAAAAATTTATTTACAAACCTATTGTAATCAAATCCATAAACCCAATGTATGTATATGGGTTTTGTGTGTGTGATTACAATAGGTTTGTAAATAACAATTTATATTATGATTAAAAAATATTTAATATATGTATATTAGACCAACTTGAGTTACCCTTCTTAAAATATTCGTTGTTATGTCATATGGTGTTACCCAAAATATTTTGGATTTAGTGTTGTCCATTCGTGAGCTGGACAGTTTTCAAAAAAATATCCTCAGGGGGACACGACTTTTCATATTCAATTCAAAATTTTACCCAGTTTCAAAAAATCTTTGTTTTGTTTTATGATGGTTTTCAAAATATCTTGAGTCTATCGATGGATGTTCGTGAGCTGAACCGGTTACAAAAAAGGCCCTTTTGAGTCTAGCCATCGCTAGACTCAAAATATTTTGGAAATAATCATAAAACAAAGCAAGGTAAATTTTTGAGAGGGGTAACAAAAACACGTTTTTGCTTTCCATACAGAGTGAGTCGGTCTAATGTATGTACATACAAGATCACATTTAAGTGTAGTGTCAATAAGAAAATCTGTCCTCAAATGTGGATAAACTTCCACATTTAGTTATACTGGCTGTCGTTCATATACAAATCAATAATCGATCAATAATAAAGATTAATTACACTGGTCTGCAAAAAAAGTTTTTTTTGCGCTCCTTTAAATTTTAATGGCTGATTATTATAAACTTATTGCTCCTGAATCCAGGTGCAAAGTGTGTTAAAAACTCAATTTTTTTGCTAGAAATTTAAAGTAAAATTTTAAAATGTGTGCAACATTGATAAAAACAACAACAACTAAAACAAGTAAAATTTACTATAAGGATGTCTGGGTATATATTATGTACTTTGTATTTGTTTTTCTATTCATTAATGTTTCACGGAAAATAGGCCTACAAAAATCCGCAAGCATGTCTGACCATTTTCCGTGGTATCTTCTTCCTTTTTATAATATCTCTTGATGAAACCTTTCGAAATTTTCATCTGATACTGCACCAAGATTTTCAGGAAAAAGTGTGAGTCCGAAAAATTAAGTTTTAGTGACATGTTACATTTAAAATGACGATTACAGAGATCAGTCCTTTAATTTTTTCTTTATAGTTTTCAGCTCTTTGTTTTCCAATAAAAATGAAAAACATCTAACAAATGCGACACATTTTTGAATTTTCGATATTTATAAACCCGCAAATTTTTTTGCAAAAAAAAAAAAAAAATAAAAAAAGTTTAATTTTGTAAAATTAGCTGTAAAATTTTGTCATCATATAACTATTTTTTGGTCGATCATTCATGGACAAAATATGAAATATATTTTCACCAGAAGTGTATCCAACCCCCTTCTGTCTGTAAGGGTTAATCAAAATAGTAAAGTACTACTCGAAATTGTGACGTGAAAGAAATCGAAAGCAGGCGTAGATTCAGTGTGGCAATATCTTAAGTTCTATAACATAGTTTTTAAAGGAGGATTTCAGTGTAGATCAGTGTTACTCTTAATTTATGAAATTGGTAATACATACAAACTAATTTTAAAAAATATATGTATTATTTTTAGAATATCATATTAAGTCAAGATGTCATCGCCAACGTTTAGATTGAATGAATCGACGACGGTAGTTGATCGATTGGTTAACTTTTTTGTGGAACATGAAGACTTACGCACAAAGAGTTGGTTTTTATCTAACGCACCAGGTCCTCTCTTTATGATATTGGGTGCATATTTATATTTTTGTCTATATGCTGGTCCTAGATATATGCGCGATCGCAAACCATTCGAACTGAAGAATACATTATTGGTGTACAATGCGGTACAAGTTGTCTTAAGTTGGGTGCTGTTTTATGAGGTAATATTATAAAATCAAATCATACTAATTTTATGGAGAAAATTTGCCATTCTATTATCATTACAGGGATATAAAGGCGGCTGGGGTGGTCACTACAATTTTAGATGCCAACCTGTTACATATGCTACAGATCCTATTTCTATGAGAGTAAGTTGGTATTAGGTTAACTTGAATTTCACATACATTCTAATTTATTTAATATATTAATGCATCTAGATGGCTCGTGCAGTTTGGCTTTACTATATTGCAAAAATTACTGAACTCTTGGATACCGTATTTTTTGTATTACGTAAAAAGGATCGTCAGATTTCCTTTTTGCATTTATACCATCATACATTAATGCCAGTTTGCGCTTTTATCGGAGTTAAATATTTTGCTGGTAAGATAAACATTTATATTATTTCTGATTAAATGTTGCTTTTAAAATTTAATGACATCTTAATATTGTTAAAATAATTCCATAATTTTGACATTTATAGCAAAATATTATAGTCAATCAAGAACTTCGTATTTTGAGTCAGAAATCGTTAGCTGGAAATGAACGATATGTTTGGAAATCATCGTTTCGTTGTACATATCGATCATTTACTGCAAGACTGGTTTAATCAAAAAAAGTCCATTCGAGAAAAAATACTTTGATCATTATTTGTTTGTTTTCCAAGGTTTTATTTTATTTTGAAAACTTGTCTTTTTCAGGTGGTCATGGTACATTACTTGGATTTATTAATTCCTTTATTCATATAATTATGTATGCCTATTATTTGCTCTCTGCGATGGGTCCGAAAGTACAAAAATACTTATGGTGGAAGAAGTACATTACTATCTTACAAATCGTAAGTATAGAAAAACAATCTTATAATAAACTGAATTAACATATTTTATCATTTAGGTTCAATTCTTAATTATCTTCGTGCACACGTTGCAGATTCAGTTCCAACCTAACTGTGCATTCCCAAAACCAATTGCTGCTTTATTGACATTTAATGCAGGCCTCTTTACTTACATGTTCAGTTCGTTCTACGTTAAAAATTATAATAAGGATAAGAAACATGCAGCCGCTTTAAAAGCCGCCAAAAAGGAATAAAATCATTGTACAACTAAACCATTTTCCTTTATCTATGAATACTTTAAACATTAATCTTTTCAGTTCTAACATTAAGACTATAAAGTTTTTTGCAAGCCACTAATAGAATTTGGATTAAGGATTAATTACCATTAGCTAAATTAGGAATTAAGTGCTAAACTAATGTAATTTTATACATACATAGGTAGTAGTTTTATAACAATTATACGATTATGTATAATTATTTTAAATCAATACCGTACACGATTAAACTGTTAATACACAACTTATTATTATTAATTATTAGATTTTAAGTTTATCAATGCAACAATATAAAAATTAATTTAGATGAATTAGTTGAAATGAATATCCTTCCTTGTTTTTAAGTGGTAAAAGGAGAGTGCAATAGAACCAAATATAAATATTAGCTTATTCTTAAGGGTTCATTATAAATATGTATGTATGTATGTACATATACATACATGTATGTATTTTTGCTGTATTGTTTTCAATTATATTTAAGTCGACATATCTTGCTGAATTAAACAATAACACAAAGTAAAAATTTCATTAAAATAGTATTAAAGATTAAAATAGTATGTCTTATACAAGTGTATAAATTGTACTTATAAGAATGAACCAACGTAAATACAAACTGTCAATATTATATACATATGTATTTAAAGTACTGCTCAAAAATATAGCTCACCTTGTATTAAGTTTTTATTCTTTTCATATTATTAATAAAAATTAAGTCAGAAAAACATGATTGATGGCAAATTCAAGAACGAAGGCTAGTTTATGTAATAAGTATCAAAATTCGGTGTAAGATGACAAAATAACTTTATTAGTCTTTTTATACAAAACTAACCATAAAAAGCTGTTTCATAATTATAGCGCATTCTGTGAAATAATTTGAAACAATATTGATAAATGTTAATTAATTTTGTAAAATTGCAATTAATTATTATGAAAGGACACTTGTTTTTGCTTCTAAATGCAATTTAATTTGAAGTGACAAAATTAAAGCAGTTGTCTTTGGTTAATCAATCGATCGGTTAATCAATAAATTTTTGTCGATTAATCGCTCGAAAATATGAAAAATACCAAATTTCCAATTAACACAGCAAGAAATAATTGATGTCATACTTTACAAATGACATCTTAATCGCATCTAAAAATGCATTTACATATGTACATATTTTTCGCTTTTATAAACCAAATATTTCCTTACAAATGAAAAGCCAGTTAAAAGTGAGGAAAGATATGTAGAAATATAATAACACATGCGAAGTACATCATGTTTTCATGAAAAACCAATGAAATTTGCATTATCGTGTTATTGAAAGAATATGTTTTATTTTTAACATACAAATATCGGATTTTAACAGCTTCCAAAAATGAGATTAGATGTAGTTCAAAGTTATCAAAAATTATCAACATCCCTCCAATGACACGCTAATGTAAAATTCAAAGTTTTTTCACCTGAATTTGAAGCACTTCGGATTGCTAGTTGTGATGAAAATACTACATCTTTTTCCACACCTTTTTTTGCTGGGAAGCTACGTTCACAATGATAGAGTACTCTGGAGTGAATTAAAACGAGATAGTCAAATTTAAAATATCGTTGATAAAAAGAAACAGATACACAATTTGCTGGAGTTCTCTATCATTGTGAACGTAGCTTTACAATCAAATGGTTGAAATTTTGTAAAATTTTTTAATAATGTGTATTATAAAATGCTGTCGAAGACTTTTGTGTCTTTACGCCGGGGGCGCTGCTATTCAAAATAAATTACGTCCAAATTTAACAATTTAATAATATTTAAGTAATAATGTGGATAATAAAATGCTGTCGAAGACTTTTGCCACTTTACGCCGGCGCTGCAATTCAAAATAAAGTGCGTCCAAATTTAAACTCTGCAATTCTTTATATAGTTTTTATTTCATTGCGATAAGCATAGAAAAGCACACTGCGAATAGCTACTATTTTAGTATAAAGCGATTTTTTGTAATAGGTTTTATTAATACCCTACATTACTATTTAGGGGAAGTTATTATGCATTTGTGCTGTATGTATGTAGGTATGGCCCTATAGGTGGTTAAAAGCAAACAATTTTACCAATCGGCTCATAATCACTTTCCCATTCATGTAAATCTTGTGATCAAAGTTCAAATAGTTTGTAATTGTTCCATGATATCACATACAGTCCAGAAAAATTAGTCGAACAAATTAGCAAATTGTGGAATTTTAGATAGCTAAACAAAAGTTAGCTCAGGGCTTCTGAAACAAACGTAATCGAGTTCACTGAAAGATTGATTTGTTATACATAATTGGAATAGTTATACACATACATACATGATATTTGTACTTAATTTAATAGTGTAGCTAAGAGAGTTTAAACGATGGAAATTAACTTAATGTTAAATATATAGTATGTATCATTCCGCTCGGCATAAATTAAGATTTATCCTTACGAATTATTTTAATTTTCCTTGTTTTCAAATGTCGAGTTCGAAAAAAAAAACTTTTTTAGGAACCGAAACCTATATTTATGAAACCTAAAATTATGAGAATCGGTCGGCAATATAACCCTCTTACAGAAAATAAATTTGTTAGTAATACTTCATTCCAAAAGTTTAACTATGTTAGAATTTAAAAAAAAAAAATAATTACTATAAATTATGGAGATCTTGGTCCATAATTGATCCAATCCCACATTGAAATCCCTATTCCGAAAATCAAGGTGACGTTCATATTAATCTAATGATCGAAGTCCATATACGATATGACCACTTCCGAAATTTGCTTTTTAACACATATGATTTGTGGTGGGTTTATAAAATTCGGCATAGCCGAATATAACACTCTTTCTTGTTAATTATTTCTCTGCTAATAATGTTTTCAAATTGAAACTTTTGGAATATCAATGTATGTAATGCAGAATACACATAATCGTAAAGCATTGGAATAAAATGGAACTGTTTCTTTTTTTCTTCCGATTCCGTTTTTGTTGGAATAACAATTGTCGATCGTAGCGTAAGTGAATGCGGAAACGTAATCGAAATGCAGAATAGGGGGATTGATCGATAGGTCAGATATGCAGTATAACTAAAATTAGGAATATATATTCTAATTGCTCAATCAAGTTTTTGACATTAACAATATCAATATAAAGTCAAAAGCTGGATTTCTAGGTATTTTTTATTCGTTATATCGAGAATAAAATTTCTTAAACTTTCTTTATATAAGGTAGTTTACGTTAAAAATTTGGCTGTTCGTATCGGATTTTCTTTAAATGAGATTCGTTATACCGGGATTTGCCTGTATATCTATTCATGGTTAAAATGCAACTTTGTTTTTACGTTATTGATCTTTTTCTTAATACAAAATAGTTCAGAAACTGATTTTCTGTAAGATGTTTTATTTGGGGGAAAGGGTCAAATATAGGCCGATCAACATAGATCTTTGTGAAATTATATGTTTTTAATTTTTAAGAATTAATCAAATTTTTATAAATAATTTGTTTTTAATTTTTTACATTTTTTTATTTTTTTCCATCCCTACATAATTTTCCACACAATTTTTGTGCTTTCTCTGTTTTGTTAAGCTACGTTCAGACCTATCAAATATTTGATGAAAAAGACGTAACCACTAATTTTTGTAATTTTTTTTTTTTTGATTCTGCATGATTTTTGTAATTGCAAATATTGTCGAAACAAATAATAAAGACGTTCTGAACTGATGTCGTCAAAGATATATTATGTTTGTGCAAATAAATATATATTTTAAGGAAATCAAAATGTAGATTTTTTAGAGGTCACGTCATTTTCGTCAAACATTTGATAGGTGTGAACGTAGCTTTATAAACACGGACATGGCTCAATAGACTCCGCTATTTATAAGGATCCAGAATATATATATATAAATATATATGTTCATATATATATATATATATATATATACACTTTATAGGGTCGAAAAATTATATTATAGAAATTACAAACTGAATGACAAACTTAAATATATATTCCCTTCGCACGAAGGTGAACGGTATAAAAATGAAGATTTGAAATAAAAATAGTTCTCGTGAGTTTAAAAATAAATCTCGTGAAAATGAGAGAGAAATACATAAAATAGTATTCACGAATACAAAAATTTCCTACTCTGGTCGACAATTCCGATTTTTAAAATATTTGCTTCCAAAATCCCACTTTTTAATCTCTCGGATTCCCTTTTTATTTAAAACCGTTGAAAATTTAAAAACTAATCGTAGTTGAAAACTTAGCCGTCTTACAGTCGATTTTAAGCCACCGCCGACATTTTTAGTGTTAGCCGCCGTTAATATTTGTCGTTGTGCAAACAAACGTAGAACGTGTTGAGTTTGGAAATTTTTTGAATTCTTTTAGAAAAATTTATAAATATATATAATTTGGAAATAACATTAATTGTTTAATGGTTTAAATAAACAGGTTGGTAGGTACATACATACATATGTATGTTTGTATGTAGCCGTTATTGTGCTGATGGGTTATGTCAATATTGATGAATTATTTCAAGACCATGGTGTGTTATTTGGAGTTTAAAGATGCAGTTATGATGTAAAATGTATGCTTTCTAATAATTGACTGTGATTATTTATTTGATAATGTAATATGCGTTTTCTAAATTCCCGCTAATAAGTTTTTAATCTATCAATGCAAAGGTAATGTGTAAGTGTAAAGTAATAAGATCTTGAATCTATAGTAAAATATATTGAATTGCATTAATTTTCAAGACTTGAATTAAACTGTAATAACATGGTAATGTTCGACATGAAGTCAAGTTTACTTTTAACTGAAGAATGGTATTGAATTAAAATGTAAAACAAGTGTGTTTCAATACTTGGTATTTGAATGTTTAACTGGAATTCAATTTGTTTTACACGTGAATTCCAGCAAAAATGCTTATTGGGAAGAGAGTGGCAATTGTATACCTCCCTAGGAGGACATGCCAATGTTGAAATAACTAGCAACCAAGGGGATGGTGGTCGGTCGGCTAGTAGTGACAAGGTATATTATCAACTAGAGGCAACGGACGGACGCTGATTGCCATATCTGGAATAACCACAAGGATACATACTTATTATTATACCATTGATCTCAGCAGAATCACTACCAACACCCATAGAGTGCGATGTCTGTCTGGTATGACTTTCAGTGAAGCTCTTGTTGTCTCCAAACACTATGGTGGCCGAATATTTACAAGAAACAATTGTTAAGCCGCCATTTTTATAAATTTATCGCACTGTAGAAAATGTCACGGACTTTCTTCGGATTTTTACAAGCTTAAAATCTAATCAAAAATATTAAAAACCATAAGAATACTAGAGAAAAACATTGCAATTTTCTAGAAATCTCAATAAATAATCTTCAATTGTGTTGCGAAGCTAAAGAAAATATTGAGTTCACAGAAAACACTGAAAAACGATTTCAATTACCAAAACCTCGTTTTCAATTATTTTATTTATTAAAGTTCAGCCTATAACAAAAAATGTATATTCAATTACTACTTATAATTGATTTCGTATACAAAATTTTTATTTTTTTATATTTTTGTTGTTGTTAAATACGTATTTGATTATACATTTTTATGATTCAAATACAAAATGAATTGAACCCTTTTAAAATTTTTGATTAATCGTTTAATTGAAAATTTTTTAAAATTAATTTTTTCTGTGTACGTACACAGAAAAAACTGAAAAACGATTTCAATTACCAAAACCT